TCTTCCATAAAATTCAAATAGGAATGAATTGACAGATACAAAGAAAAATAAGACATATTAACCAAGATAAAATTATACAAGGAAATGTAACTACATTATACTACTTGGCTCATAGCTATAAATAGTTACATGATTGCAATAATGTAAAACTTAATTAAACATGGTCTTAAACTAAAGATCATTGCATGAAGGTAGGTAGGGAGACCGTGAGGCAGAGTGGGCTGGTAAGAGCTGCATCTTTCACAATAAGACATTGATAGATTTGAAATATCTGTAACTTTGTTAAAAATAGTACTGCATGTTACTTATGAAGGCAAATACCCTAAGAAATGGCCAAAAAGATTAAAAGTGGTTATCTCTACAGAAAAGTGTTGAAGATCATTGCTTTTCGTTTATAAACCTTGTAGAATTGATTTTTAAAGCCATGTACCTATAAATTGATCAAAATATACAATTAAACTTTATTTACATTTGTTGCCAAGTCTACAGACCTCAAAATTGGGCATAAAAGTTTGTGAATGTCATTAAAACTACTTAATCCAACTGTCTTGACAATATATTTACCATTAAAAGCTTGAGAAAGTACATTTTGCTAAACACAAGGTATTGATATAATTCAATTTCCACTCCCATGTCAGCACTGCAGACTGGAAGGTAATTATTACTGTTGCTACTCAGCATTTTCAGCATTTGATATTTATGACAATTTTACCACAAGGAAAGCAACTGACAACACATAGCTGAATTAGAAGAATAACAGAATAGATCATGGGGATGGGGGAAAAATCTTATTAATAAGCAGTATGTAAAGTTAAAAGAAAAAAATGTAATTATCCATCATAAAAATGAAGACAAGAATGTACACAAATAAGGAATAATGGAAGTACAGTCAACCTTTTAATGTCTCTACAGATTCCGGCCTACGCACAGGGACCAGGTTACTTAACCATTTCAACAGAATTTTTGTGGGGTTTTTTTTCTTGTTATTTTAGCCACTCCAATAAGAAAGCTATAGATTGCTGGAAGAACCGAGGAACAAAGTTAAGAACTTTGGTGCTGATTGGGCACAAAGCGCTGAGACACACTGTTCCTATTAACATTAGAACAGGTGAGGGTAGGCTGTAAACTAGACTTGCAGAATGTGTACATATATTTCAAAGGTTTCTCTCCTTTTAAACAGAAACTCAACTCCACCAATAGGTTAGGCCCATACTACTGCACCAAAGTTTGGAGACTGAGATAAGCATAAAAGCTCTCCTTTCAGCAGCTAGCTATTGAGCCTTTTAACATGTCCCCACCAGTGGCACACACATGACTGTCCTACTGAGCAGCTTGAACCACTAGAGGTACATATGAGTATCTCATCAAGTGGCTTGTACCACTGGAGATACAAATGGATCTAAAGACTTTTATTGGTCTTTTTACTAATAAAACTGAATCAGAGCCACCTGGCAGTGAGACATACGAATCTGTATGAAGCCTGGAAGGCTGCTCTGTGGAAATCACCAAAGCTTTCTGAGACTATCTGGACGGCATTCCCATCACATTAGGCCACAGGTTGGCACACATACTGCAATACCATGGTCCTTTACTATATGAAGTAGCACCTCCCCAAGTGTGGTCCAAGGGACCTGTGAGATCTTTTCAGGGGATCCCAAGTCCTCCCTTTCCCAGTGGTAAGTGCCACACTCAAACTAAACATTAAATGCAGAAACAGCTTAAAAAAAAACAACCCAGCTGACTTGAGGCAAGTATGGAAACAATGACACACCTCTTACCTGATTTAGTCTCGAAGTTTTCATACATGTTATATGAACACATAAGGTTGTCATTAAATTTAATAGCATTAAAATTCTCATTTTAATTTCTAATATTTTCAACAATTTTCAAGTGCAGGGGTCCTACGAACTGAAGTTCAACTTCTCCACTTCCCAAGCCCTCCTCACAGCTTTGAATCTACCCAGAAGCTGTCGCCACCCTCCGCACTGCAAGGGGGGTCCCTCCTCATGCTGCTCTCCACTGACTTCCGGACAGGCACTGCTTCTACTCCTCTCTTGTAGAACACAATTTGGTGCAAACTTTTCCCTTTCACCTTAAAACTCTGCAAACTCCTTGTGGCAACTTGTTAACATTATTCCTGTTTTTATTGTCTTACTGAGGGTTTTGGAGATTTTTTAAGTGATACATTTTTCCAGTACACACAAAAAAAACTGATATAAAAAGAACTTTAAAATAATTTTACTGTAAATTTTATTATGATGCTTCTCAAAATATTGAATGTAAACACAAGAACTGTTTTCTAGTGAATTACCTAAATCAGAGGATGGCAATTATCTACCTTTTGAAAGTTTCCTTTTGAAAAGTTCCTGAAAAAAATTAATTTAGAACGTAATACTCTTAAGGAATATTGTAAAAAAAAACCACAAAAACAAAAACTTAGCCTAAAATATACATACAAGCATACAAATTAGTTATTTCATCAAAAAAGGTATTCTGGGGTATCTGACACTCATATTGGATCCACTGCCTTTTAAGCAGCTATGCTGGGATTTCCTCCAATGACCTGAATCTATCCTTTAAGATGAAACTTAAGAGTGGACCCAAGTTTAATAAGACACTTGTAGCTATTGACCTAATATGTGTTTTTAACTCATCCCACCACCTTCTTCCTCTACACGGAAATTACTAAAATTTTTCATGAAATAGGAATCCAAGGATCAGGGAGTGTTCAGCATCTTTTTATCATCAACAATTTTTTTTTTTTCTTGGTACTGGGGATCGAACTCAGGACCTTGCACTTGCAAGGCAGGCACCGGAACTACTGAGCTAAATCACCGGCCCCGTTCAGCATCTTTTTAAAAACAGTACCAACTTCATTTGTGATTTACTTTGAGCAACAGAAATCAAATGTTGGCTTACTGTTCTTTGCAAAACATTAGTAACTGATAATTAGTAACCTGGTAATATTAGTGATGTATAGGGCCGGGGATTTAGCTCAGTGGTTCCGGCACCTGCCTCACAAGCGTAAGGTCCCAAGTTTGATCCCCAGTACCAAAAAATATATATATATATAAGTGATGTATAAAACATTAGTAACTGGGATCTGAGAATGAAGAGAGGAATAGTACAAGTACACCCAAATGTTAAAAATTAAGTTAAAATAGTTGAGATCTAGTTCATTACCAATCCTTCATGATGCATTTAAACTTATTCCATGTACTTGAAAAATATAGCTAGTATTAAAAACTTTGGAACAATTAAATTACCCATTAACAACAACAAAAATCCTGTTAACAAGCCATTTTATGTTAACAGAGGCTAGTTTTAAATGGCACACATCAAGTTTAAACACACACTAATATTCCACGGTGTTTAACATCACTCTAGTTTATTTACTAAGGCTTTAGATATTCCTTAACCCCAAAAATCTAGCACTGAGTCAGATGTCCTGTAACTTCAAAAATCTAACAAGACGTCACCAACTAACCTAGAATTAGTGAGGGCAAGTACAGGAACAGTCCCCCCCAAAAATGTCTATATCCTAATCCCTGGGATATCTATAAACAGGTTACACAGCAAAGAGGAGTTAAGGTCACAGGTACAATTTTGGACACTATTCAGCTGACCTTAAAACAGAGACTCTCTGGGCAAGTGAATGTAATCACAAGGGTCTTTAGAAGTGAGAGAGGGAAACAGAACAGAGGACCTGACAGAGCTGGCATCACGAGAAGACTTGGCCTCATTTTGCAGAGGAAGGGACTGTGGGTCAAGGACCGTGGTTGGGCCCTAAGGTAAGGAAACGGGTTCTTCCCTAAAGTCTCCAGAAAATGACCTTGCTCTGGAACACCTTGATCTGGTACCAGACTTCTGATTCTCACAATTCTAAATATGTGGTTTTACTCTACTTTGTCGTAGCAGCCAAAGAAAATATGAGGCCTGGAGAATTGAAATTTGTGATTAATTTCTGCCCATGTACAGAACTCAAAGGTGCTGGCGGTGTCTTCTTGTTCACAGTGAGGAGCCAGATTGCTCAATGTAGTTACAAACAGGTCAGTGAATGAAAACCAAGAAGGTCATGAAGGGGTAGTTAATAGTCAGGTGTCATTCCTCTTTTCACTCTCAGTTCTCAGAGCAAAACTGGAAAGTATGTGGGCTCTGGAGAAAAAGCAAAACTCAGCTTGCATTCCGGCTGAGAACAGCAGTCTAACCTCAGCAATTAAGTTCCAGTTTCTTCAGCTCTCAGGGAAGTCTTCACCTTTCAGGGCCAATTTTTACATAAAGTGCTCAACACAGGGTTTGACAGACAGCAGGCTCACAGCAGCTTACTGCCACAAAGACCACTAAGGGTCAACTTTACAGGTCCTGAGACCTCCTGGCATATATCACTTAACAGAAGTCTATACAAGCAGTCTTAGGGTGGTTCTATGTTTTTAAAATGTTAAACATTTCAAGCAAAACATTTATTGGTATATGTTAGACATACACGACAATAATTATCATAGGGAATTTGCACCTGTACAGGATATATCCTGCCTTTTTTGTTATTAGAGCACGTTTTCCTAAAACAGGGGAACCCGAAAGATGACATTTCTGTACTTCACTCATTGAAGGCTGGTTGTAGGTAGGACTTGAGAAAATCAAAAAGGTTTGGATCTATTACTTGATAAAAATTTGTCATTTTCCCATTCTTTCCTCACCAGGAAAACCTCAAACACTACTGCTTTCCCTATTCTCCACAATATTTCAACCAGAGGCAAAGACACCTAGGTTGGGGTACAGCTCAGTGGTAGAGCACTCCCTACCGTGCACTTTAGGGTGGGGCCCTCGGTTCATTCCCCAGCACTGGAAATTAAAAAGAAAACCTGGTTCTAACATTTAAGGGCACCGAAATCCTAGGAAATGGCTTTGCCTATTTTAAAAAATTTGTATTAAAATCTACTGAGATTCACTGAGATATAAAGAAAAAAAATTAGAGTTAGCATCACAACATATACAAGAAATTATGATCAAAAACTAACATAAAGGCTTTATTCCATTTAATAACCCATTGTTTTTTCTTGCACCATTGAAATTTGGTGTAACATAAATACTAAACCTGTAAAAGATCTACTGACAAAATCCACATTTGAAATTTTAAAAAAAACCTAAAAGTTTGCTTTTCTTGAATTTGTAAAATCTTGACAATTTCTCAATGGTGCAAAAGATGAATGACCACCTTAGATTTTTGGTGGGTGTGGTGGGGGGATGCTGGAGGCTTGTTTTCTCCTAACAACTTTATCTCCCAAAAAAAAGGCCGAAGTTAAACCAACTTTACTGGAATAAAAATCCTCCATTTTAGAACTTTCCTGAGGATAAATTTTGAGGCAGGCCAGTTAGTTTTTTGGTTTTTTTTTTTTTGGTACCGGGGATCGAACTCGGGTCCTTGTGCTTGTGAGGCAGGCAACAGAACCACTGAGCTAAATCTCCAGCCCACGAGGATAAATTTCAGATAAAATTTTTTTAAAAAACCAAGTGTTGCAAGTTGTTGCAAATTAAATTTCATCCTGAACTTCTTCTCCTCTCCAGTGAAAACTGCAAGGCTAATTTAGCTGCCAAACTATTTTTAATTGTAATTCTTAGCTTTAGGGAAACAGTCTTCTTAATTTTGTGGGTACTGGCATTTTTCTTCATTGGTACAGACAGGTTAAACACACTGGCTCTTTCCTTTTTTTTTTTTTTGTCTCAGCATCATTTGCTAGCTATTGCTTTAAATCACAGCCATCAATACAGTATGTATTTTAGGGCCTAAGTTCAGATTTGAGTTAACAATAGCCTCCACGTGCTATTTCAGGTAAAACTGGCATATTCAACAGTACAGTTGCCCTGTAAGTGACAGTGGGCCTTTCAGAGTTTTCAAGGATACAAAAAGCTCGCTGCTTTTTTTTTGATGCAGGTTCGCCACCACCACCCATAAGCCAATTAGGGTTAAACAGGCATTTTACAGAAAGATTCAAAACATATCTCACTTAAGTAAAAGTTCTGTGGTCTTGTAATGGTGAATCGGTATAACAAAATTTTACAGTGTACAAGTATTCAGAAATATACCAATTAGACAGGATGCAGTTTAGTTTTTCACCAGCAGCTCCAATTCTAGCCTCTAGCATACAGTTTAGCTCCGCCCAATCTCTGTTGAAAAACGACTGCCCTCCTCTGATGACTGCTGTGTACACATGTTCTCTGCTGAGTAAGAAAACAATGTCTATAGGTAATTAAAGCTTTCAAGAACAGATTACTTTACTACTGAATTTCAAACCACACACACAAAATAGATGAGAAATTCTTTTATCATATTTAGAATCAAAATATCCCTTAAAATATTTACATTTTACAGTAAAAAGGATAGCAAAACACAAGATCATGTACAAGCTTAAGTATTCAAGTTTCTGAAGAGCCAAAAAATGAAAAGGAAAACAATGGCCTACCACAAGCTGTCGTGTATAATAATTTCTTCAGTGGGTGTAGATTTAAAGTAAAAAACGTACTTGTTGGCCTTCGGATTCCTGGTCAAAACTGCTCAACTGAATGATTAGTAAAACTTACTTATGCAGTGGGGCTCAGCTTTTTGTTGCTCCCCTACAGTTTCTTTAAAAACAGTGCAATTTTAAACAAACTTACAGAGCACATTACTCTCAAATTAGTCATTATGTAAAGGACATTCACTAGTGGCAGTACATATATTCCATAGTTAACCATATTTACCAATTAAGAAATAAAAACTAAAATTTCTCAGCCTTTATTGCATATTAATAAAACAAATCTTTGAATATACAGCAATGTAAAACTTTCAAAAATATTAAATTCCTGTAACTAGATTCAGTGTGGAGGGACAGTGAGCGGCGGACAGGGCCTGGTGTCCTGCAGTCCGACAGCGAGGTGGGAAGGCAGCTCGGTCTCGACAGCAGGCTGAGCAAGGTACGGCGTCCAGCAGCCATGTAAATGTCATCCTGCAGCAGCCTGCATGCTTTACCTTTTGCTTTTAGCTCTGTCAGTGTGGTCCCTATCTTTGTGATACCTCTCCCTGTCCTTTTCCCCCTCTCTGTGTTTACTTTTCTCTCGTTCTTTGTCTTTTTCGTGCTCTTCGCCTTTAGGTTTGTCTGGTTTCTTTTCTACACTTCTGTTATCTCGGCCCACCTTCCCATCTGCTCCTCGATCACCATGCAGCAACCGTGGCTTGTCTTTATCTTTGTGCCCTTCCTCTCTACTTTTTCTGTCTCTGTCTTTGTCCTGGCTTCTGTCTCTGCGCCTGTGCCTTTCAGAGTCTGGCTCCCATTCTTTTTCATGTCGCTCTCTTTTCAGTTGGTGTGAATCGCTGTAAAATCTCTGGCGATCCCCTTTGCCTCTGTTAAATGGCCGATCCAGTTGTGGTTGGTCCTGCCTACCCCAAGGGTCACTGTGGCGCCTTTCAGGTCTCCGAATGTCTTTAACCTGGTAAAAGTTTTGTGGGCCCATATATCTCGATGCTTGTGAAAGGGGACCCATCATGCGCTGTGGTTGGCCTGGGAGATGAACAGGTGGCCAGGGAACCACTGGACCCTGAGGAAAGCCAAAGCCTGGAGGGGGGAGCAATGGAGGTGGCAAATGTGGTGGAAATCCAAACATGCTTTGTGGGGGGAAATTAGGAGGCCCTGCAAATGGGAACCCTGGAGGGCTGGACTTGAGATGCTGGAGGCTGGGCTGCTGTGGCCGCATGGGTGAGAAGTTTGCACTTGCTCTGGGGCTGGTGCTTCTGGGAGTGAAGTTGATGCTTTTAGGAGGGAATTCTGATTGGCATGTGCTTCCAAGTTCAAAATGAGATGTTGTTGCCACCAATCCTCTTCTGAAGGGGTGCACGGTTTCAATGTTTTGTGTTAAAATGTCCTCCTGCGATTTCAAGGCTTTTGCTTGTTCTGTTTGGGAAGAAGGTATGGTTTCTACTGATGGTGAGTTCTGTGCAGGCTTTGAGTCATCATTCTGCTGAACACATGAGTTTTTCTCTGTGGAAGACGGCTTTTCTTCCACACTGATTTGTTCTATCAGTTGTTCCTTGTTCTGCGATAGACCAGGGACGGCCTGCTTTTCTCCACTTCGGCAACCATCTCCATCTTTGCTTTCTGAAGCAGTTATCTGCTGACTCCGTCCTGCTGCTTGCCTGGGATCCCTTTTCAGATTAATAAACTGTGGAGACCTTGCTGTATTAGCAACAAGATTTTCATTGCAATTCACATTACCATCTGTGTTTCCTTTTCCTACATTAGACCTGCATGGAGAACTACCTGAAGTCCTATTATCTTGCAAATTATTCTCTTGATCTTGGAGCAGCTGTCTTTTTAATGTTCTCTCTTTATTCTCTGCAGTTTCTTCTTGTTTTGACTGAATTGACAGGTTTGTTAAGAATGCTTCTGTAGAAACATCTGGTGGTTTACCTCTGAGACTAAGACCTGTCAAAGGCCCTGGAGAAATGGAAGAGGATCCCACTAGTGAGGTTTCTTCTCCACCTACTCCTGAGTGACCTGCAGGTTCCGAAAGACTATCTACTGTAACTTTTACCTCCTTGGCTTCACCATCTGTTACTTCTACTTTATCTACTTTTTCTGCCTTGGGGTTTATTTCTTCACTTATAAATGGGATTTCTGTAACAGTGCTCTGCTCTACTGCTGACTGCTCATATGCTTGGCCAGTGGTGCCCAAAAGGCTCTGAAGTATATCATCCACGGGGAGAGGTTTATTTGCTAATTCCAAAGCAGAAGGCTGATTTTCCCAGCCGATTAACACTCCAGGTAGAAACCGTAAAGGTTTAGGTGGCTCCTGTTTGGTGACTTCCATGAAAGGTTCAGAAGCTGTCGGCAAGTCTTCCTGAAGAGTCTGCTGAGGCTTATTTCTCTGCTTATGTAAGATGGTCGTAAAGGAATTAAAGAAGTCATTTTCCTCTTCCGGTGCTTCCTCTGTAGAAGCCTCTATTTTAGTCTTTTTGTCAGGGGGCAAGACAATCGATGCACCTTCAGGAGCCTCTGCTGTGTGACCAGTACCAGCATTAGCACTATGCTGCCTCTTCAGCTTCTGACGGATGATCAGGCCCAACAACAGATTAGGTCTGTGCAGTTCAAGCCCTGTAGGAAGTGAAAACATTGACAGTTGTTTTCAGTCATCACATAAAAGGGGAAACACTTTGCATCTCGCTCATCAAGAGGCATGAAATCGACACCCAGGCCTGTCGAGCCCTCTAGAGGGCTGGACTCAGAAAAGATGGTGGCCGTTCTGCTCACTCAGACCCACTCCCTACACATTTCAGTACCATCCTAGTGTTAAGCATGTACCTACCAGGTCCGTCAAAAGGCACAAGAGGGTGTGGAATCTTATCCGCGGCACTCAAAGGAATAAGGTACAGATCTTTAACCTGCTTCATATTGTTAGCAGCTACTCCATAGCGCTTTCTGCTACTGAAGTATGCGAACAGCAAAGTATAAGAAATCTGATCTTCTTCCGTTACTGGTGTGAAACGAACCACACAAATCTCCTATTTAAAAAATAACAAATAGTTGTTTAAAAGAATAATCTAAAAGTACCTTGGTTTTAAATACTATTTCTCAATTAAAAATAATCTATTAGATATTATAATGACACAGTTTACAAACTTCAAAATACTTGAGAATACTGATAGGTAGGTTTGTTTCTCATAAAAATTTTTCGTAAGAAAAATCGAATCCCAAGATAGTCAATGAATGAGTGCTTGGTTAAACAACCTGTAAGAGGCAGAGATGATACTATAACACAGTCTTTTGATAGTTATGCCCTTATTTCCAATGCTGTTACTTCTACGGAGTGGTCACTGTTCTTGGAACTTTGTGAATTCACAGTATTCGGCACCATCAACCCACTATGTAATTACATAAATCGCATGTTCCAAGGCGCCCAGTAAATCCTTGAAACTATGGACAGTACTGAGCCATATTATATGTATTTTTTCATATATATGTGTATGATCAATGTAATTATAAATTAGGCACAATAGAGATTAACAAATCTAATAATAAAATAGAACAAGAATAACAGTATAGTATAATAAAATTGCCAACATCACCACTTTTGTGCTTTGAAGCCATTATCAAACAAAGTGAGGGTGATGGGTCACTGTGACAATGAGACAGTCAGTCTGATAAGCATGGTGACTGCTAAGTAACTAACAATCAGGTAGTACACACAGCACAGATATTGGACACACTGTACAAAGGGGTGACTAATGTCCTAGGTTGGACAGAGTAGAAGGGAGCAAGATTTCACCATGCTACTTAGAATGACAATTTAAAACAAGAATTCTTTCTGCAATTTCCCATTTAATACTTCTGAAGCATGGTTGACTATGGGCAACTGAAACCTCATGAAGCTATAGATAAGGGAGAATTAATATATATACAGAGATACAAATTTACTGATAGTCCAGTTTAAGGGGACTAAATTTAGGAAGAAAAAGGGAAATGGTCTACCTAACAAAAGAGGATAAAGAAACTACAATGTTTGAGCTACTATATTTTCGTTTCTTTTTTTTCTTTTTTTAAATAAATGCTTTATTTTATGGGTTTTTTGGTACCGGGGATCGAACTTGGGTCCTTGCACTTGCAGGGCAGGCGGTGGAACCACTGAGCTAAATCCCTGGCCTATATTTTCATTTCTTTGTTGTGAAAGTTTATTTATGCCTTAAAGTAAGCAAATGCCTACAATAAAGGTGGAGTTCCAGGGTGAATACTTTAAGTACTTCTTCAAAAATGTTGACAGAAGACCCAGAGAACTCGTATCAGAGGCAGAAAGTGAAAGGGAAGCTCGGCTGCCTGAGTCTCAGCCAGGGGTGTCCACTCAGCCTGTGAGGCTCCTTAGGCTCCTGAGGAGCTGCCTCAGCTCCAGGCCAGTGAGGGAGACCAGGCCTGCAGCGGAAGCTGGAGGAACTTACTCCGTAAACCTCTCCCTAAGATGGGACTATGAAAATGTTTGGCTCACCTTGGTTCCCGATGCTTTTATTTTTTCCACATAATCCCAGACTGTCTGAGGTGATATCCTGCCACCTACTTGAATACTATCTGGTAGGTCCTATATTAAAAAAAGGAAAAAAGAAAGTGTTCAATATACATGGAATAACTTTATTATAATTTTCCTAATTCACAGAAGTAAACAGTTGCAGGTACAGCTCAGCAGTGAACCATGTGTTTAGTTCCAGGTTCAATTCCCAACACACACACAAAAAGAAAACAAAAGGCATCACAAAACGAAACACAGTGCACAGACAGCAGTTACACTCTGCCTCAAATGCCAACTCCAAGTGAATGGTGCTTAAAATACTGTTACTAAGAAGAAGTAGGTGCTCATTCCAGGCTGTGAGCGGACAGAGGCATACAAAAAGAAAGCACATTGCGTCTCCAATTCAGAAAAGTTACAGCACACTTCAGAATATTCAGAGAAACTCTTCTCCCCTTCCAAGGCTTTTTGTTTTGGTTCAGGAGAAGTACATAGAGGGTATTCCTTAATCATTTTGAGTAAAATTTCAGAGGCTACCAAATTTAACTACAGATATTTTTTCTGCACAGAGGAAAATAACACTGTCATAATGCAAGTCTTCTTTTTTAAAGGAACAATCTTTCTGAAAACAGACAACTATCCATAAAATCAATTAAGAACATTTTTAAAACTTTGTGCTTTTTCCATGAAGACTGAGGAAAATATTATAAAAGCATAATTAACTGATATTAAGTTCAATTACATTTATTTAAATCACTAACTAAATACTTTGAGATTTTAGTCCCAATCAAACTAAAAATAATTAGAAAGAAGAGGTAGAATTCTGGAAAGCAACCTACGTAAAAACTGTGGGTCAGAAAGGAAAAGCATAGTTGTGCTTAAAATTCAAATGTTTCCATAGTTCACAATCTAATTCTCAATTTAAAAGAATTATCTACATTGTGAACTAATCAGACTAAATTTCTACACACTGTCAAAAAGAGAACCAGCATTTGTCTATTTTTCTCTTAGAAAATTCACATATCTAAAATATCACTTACCAAGCAAACTACATGTAAATGTAATAATTGGGTTATTAATAAAAAACACAAATGCTAAACAAATCAGCATATTACATTACATTAAACTAATTTTAGCCTAACCAAAAGTTTGTTAGACTTACAGAGAACATTCATATGATTTATGCTTTTTATAATACTGACAATTTTGTAAAAGATTTATCTTTATGGTCAAAAGAGTGAGAATGAATGAAAAAGGTTAACATTAAGATACAAATATAGCAGCAAATATAATCTCAATATAAATAAAATACACTCGCACTGTTTTCCTTTTGTTAAGAAGCACAAAAGAGGGCTGGGGATTTAGCTCAGTGGTTCCGATGCCTGCCTGGCAAGCCTAAGGTCCTGAGTTTGATCCCCAGTACCAAAAAACAACAACAAAAAAAGATACACAAAAAAATTCCTTCAAAACTATTTAAAAATGTCATACTCTGTCATTAATTAAAATATCATGATGCTATTGCTATTTATTTTCCTTGAACACTATATATAGATTCTTCCTATTCCCTCAGGTGTAAAATCAACCAAGGTTGAGTGCAGCAACTAGTCTTATGGTCATTAGTGTACACCACATTCACAGAAACAGTCAGACAAGCAGTACTACAGCCACGAAGTTGGAGAAACACAAGCATACGGGGAAATTAAAAAACCTGTTAAACAATGAAGTCTCCCTGATAGGCTAATACTACAAGCCATAATAATGTCAATCTTCTATGTAAATCTACATTAAAAGACAAACTTGGACATCCATGCAGAACACTCACTGATTTTTAATTCTCTGACATGGTAAAGTACATCTTAGAGTATAAGGCACACAGGTTTAAAACTTTCAGAGTAGAGTTTTCCTCAACTGTGAAACTGATTAAATTGTTCAAGGATCTTTAACTACAGTTATTTCCCTGCCTATTGCTTCCAGAAATTACATGCCAAGCCATGGACAAAAGGGCAGAAAAGTTGACAGTACCTCTGTCAAGTACTCAGATGAGCCAGACACTGGGTAGGCTTTGGTAACAAATTTTGCCACCGAAGGCATGTTGATAAAACCTTTCCAGATGAAGTTCAATCGAGCCAGGAAGGTAGACTCAACTTCAACAGTTCCAGGCATCTCTGGGCTAGAAAATGAGATTATAAAGTTAGGAGCCCTAAAGATCGACATGAGGTCTACTTTCTACTTAGTTATCATTAAAGTCAAATTTAAAGTCGTCCTCTGTCATCTGCCTTACGCAGACAGAGGACCAGGGATATGCGAGTGACTTTTCTGTAACACCGCCCTGCCACACCAAGAGGGCAAGTGCCCACACTCACGTCCCGCACTCCAACCACTCACACTCAGCTTTCACTCTCACTCTTTTATTTCCATTAGTTTAGAGTACAGGAAAATATAGTAAGTTTCTCAAAAGAAAAGTCATTAAGAAATGTCACTTCATTGTTTTCAAAGACTTCCAGGTGTAATTTAGTAAAAGCCTCTGATTATTGTAAAAATTATAACTGAGAGAAAAGCACCGTGGAGCCGGAGAGAATGTTGACTTTGGAGACTCTTGTTTCTCTTCTTCAAAGAATTCAGATGCCAGAATATTTGAAGTTGAAGATAATGCGTCCGCTATACTTTCTGCTTCATTGTCTGAATGTTTGCGAGCTACTCCAACAACAACTTTGACCTTTTTTGGAGAAAGATCATCGACAGGTGGTGCCATTCGACCTACAGCCAGAAGACACCGAATACATGATTGCAGTTAACTGCAATTTTTACAACTTAATCCATCTTTACTATGTAAAGTTCTGTGGTTTACCTGAGCCAGTTATGGGGTGACCATGTCTGGGATGATGTCAAGCTCCCCACACACCGTCACTTCTCACAGTTAAGTTTTACTACCCCTGGACTGAAGAATGACAGAGTCCCAGTGTAGTCCTCCCCCGCCACCCTTCCCACAGGACAGATGCACGCCTCAGCATGTGCAGGGCTCCTCCGTCTCACACTTCAATTTCTCTTTCAAATGATTTTACAAACATCACCCTCTAAACATAAAACCTGTGAGTAAACACGGGCTCAATATTATTCCTTTCTTAATGACAAAAAAAATTAGGAAATAGATGTTAGGTAACTAAGACAAACTACAATGAAAATGTTACACAAGAACATAAAATAGGTTTCTTGATTCAAATGTTTACCTGAAGTACACCAAAATCCAGTAATACTGAGAAGCATTTATAGAACTCTGTAAAACAAATCTGTACCATACTTGGTGCTGTAAGTAGCAGCAGTTTATGGCTATACATACACAGTATAGTGCTACTTACATATTAAGGCATGAAAACCATTCGTTTTTATTTTGCAGTGCTGCTCACCACTTACTACCCTGACTTCACTGCTTGTAACTGAGTCATGATCTGAAGTTTAAAAATGACTGTGAGACACTTGAAAATATGATCTATAAATATCTTCAAACAAACCATGTGCCCCTCTCCTTTCTTGAATTTAACTCAAGTTCATATTAGTTATTCCCAGGATCTAGAATGTGCTTGCCCTCTCTCTGCAGGACCTCTCAACTTTGGCATCTCTGCTTCAATGTTCACACACACACACACAAACCCCCAGTGGAGGCAATGTTTCCCTGTCAAACACACACTTGCACTTCAGTGACAGGCATTTGGCTGTCTTCACCCTGTAAGGCCAAGAAAACATCAGACCTTTTTACCAGTGTATTCCTTGCCCTCAGCAAAGTACTTGATGAGAATAGCTCACCAAATGTTTACTAAATGAATAATCAAAATAAGAATACACATGAAAAGGTAATTTCTGAGCAGACGATCCAGAGTAAACAACACAATATTGAAGAACAAACTCAAAGAACTGAAGCTACCCGGCTAAGACTTACTACAAAGTACAGTAATCAAAACACTGTGGCAAACAGATAAATGGAGCAGAACAGAGTGGGGACATCATATGTAATTAATTGAATTTGCTCTTATTTTCAACAAAGAAGCAATACCATACAATGGACCAAAAAGTCTTTTCAACATATACCTACCTAATATGTATCAATAAAATTAATTCTTAAAAAAAATCTTTTCAACAAATGATGCTGAAACAACTAGACATACACATGCAAAAAAAACAAAACAAAACAAAACCAGAAGAATCATCTAGACATAAACCTTCCACTCTTCACAAAAATTAACTTAAAATAAATCGGAGACCTAAATGTAAAATGCAAAGCTATAAAAATCATGACCCTGGACATGGCAATGAGTCAGAGAAAACACCAAAGGCATGATCCCGAAAGAATGCGTGAATAAGCTGGACTCTTAACTAAATACTTCTGCTCTGCAAAAAATAATGACAAAAAATGAGATACAAGCCACAGACTGGGCGAAATATTTGCAAAAGACATATATGATAGGACAGTATCCAAAATACACAAAGAACTCTTAAAATTCAGAAAGAGGAAAATCATCAACCCACTTAAGAAAGGAGGCACACAATTGAACAGACACCTCATTGGCAACACAGTGGCGAATGGGCATAGGGAAAGATGCTCCACATCACGCACCAGGGAGTCAGAAACTAAACAGCAGCAAGACAACACTGCCCAAAACCTACAGGACAGCAAATGCTGGGGAAGATATGGACCATAGGAAAACTCACTCATGCTGGGAGGGATGCAGAATGGTACAGCCACTGTGGAAGACTCTAAGTCAGTTTCTTACAAAAAAAAGACATGCTGTATGATCCAACAATTGTGTTCCCTGGTATTTACCCAAAGGAGATGAAGACTTAAATCCACATAAGAAATTTCACCTGTTTATAGTAGTTTTACTCATAACTAACAATAAATATGTCCCTTAGTAAATGAATGGATAAAATAAACTGTGGTACACACAAACAATGGAGTTATTCAGTACTAAAAAGCAATGAGGGCCAGGGATTGAGCTCAGGGGCACCACACCTGCCTCGAAATCACAAGGTCCTGAGTTCGACATCTCAGGAACCAGAAAAGTGAAAAAAAAGAAATGAGCTACGAAGTCATGAAAAGACACTGAAGATCCTTAATTAGGTATTAAATGATCTGACCCGGGCCAGGGCTGGGAGGTGAAGATCACATATAATACAGCTAATTCTCGATATTAAACTAAACTATTGCATCAAAATATACCTCAGTGCTAAAAAAAAAAAAACTATATACCTCAGTGCTGAAAATGAAAGTCATACAAAAAAATGTGCTGCTCAAAGAGTCAGTGAGTGCTGTACCACCAAAACTAGAGGAACAAAATGACTTAAATTACAAACATTAGTACCAAAGTACTCCCTCTTTAACCATGAATGCAATATTTTAGGAAAAGAAATTTCTAGTTACCTATGCAGATTTTGCAGTTAAGATCAAAAAGATGCTGTCGGTGTTGACTAGTAGTGTCTGCAGACATGGAGCTGTTCTCCTCTCTCTGTTTTTCAGGTCCTTCTGGCTTCTCCAGTGACTTACTAGCTGTAGGCTCCTAATGTAATGTGAGAGTAAAAGTTACTTTTGGCTGATACAATTTGGTTTCAGTTATAAAAAATCAATTTATATTTCACACTGATGTTTTCCCAAAATGTAATTATTATATTCATAGGTTGCTTTATTTGTTTTTTAAAAGCTATTACTACTCAAAATAGAACAAAAGAAATCACAATTTCTCCTTCTTCAAAGCTTTCAGTAGGATTGTCAATCACCCGTCGCTGCACCACCTCTCAAGCTACAGTGCTGCAATCTCAGAGCTCTTCAGCCAGAGGCTGAGTTCAGGTTGAGCTGGAGGCAGGGGGATAACGTCTGGGGGATCACACACCCCTAGAACACCTCGAACGCCCAGCCCAGCAGGGTTCCTCCCTCCTATGAGAATCTAACACCCTTCACATCTGACAGCAGGCAGAGCTCAGGCTCGAGGCAAGATGAAGCTTCCCTGGCTCAGGGCGCACCTCCGGCTGGCTGCTACCAGGCCATACCCCAGAGTCAGTTCTCAGCCTGGGGTTGGAGAACCCTGTATAGTCTCTTTTTTTTTTTTTTTTTTGGTATCGGGGATCGAACTTGGGACCTTGTGCTTTCTTAAGAAGCACCTGCAGCTGGGTGTGATGGTGCACACCTGTAATCTCAGCACTCAGGAGGCTGAGGCAGGAGGGTTACTCTGAGTTCCAGGCCAGCCTGGACTACCTAGTGAGTTCAAGACCAGCCTGAACTACACAGTGAGACCCTGTCTCAAAAAAATAAACAAAAAAGAAGCATCTACAGATTCCTAAGCCTACTAAGGAATTACATTTCTGTCCCCAGGAATCTACACTGACATTTTTATCAGATACCTAACATTGCAGGTAATCTGTACTCTAAGAGAAACAATACTCAACCATATCAACCTCAAAAAAAGCCATTAAATCAGAAAACTACTTTAAAATAGAAACTTAAAAAATTCTTTCTACTTTAGGAACACCAGGCAAACACATCTTTTCTAACTTCTGTTCTGAGCTATCAAACATGGAACATCTGTAATCATTACCTGAATTTCCATGGCTGCTTCCTGTTCCTTCATTGGGGCATCACTCTCAATTTCTATTTCACCTTTGTGAGTTATTTTTGTGATTGGTCGTCTTTCCACTTCTCTCTGCTCTTTCTCAATCATCTCTATGGTCTAAGAGAAAAATTTTTTAAAGATTAAATTTGAAATATGGATTTCCAAGTGTACACTTAAAATATTAAAGAGCTTTCTTAAAAATACACAAATCAGCATCATACTTGATTTTTAATCTTTTTTTTTTTTCTTTTGGCACCAGGGATCGAACTCAGGACCTTGTGCTTTCGAGGCAGGCGCTGGAACCACTGAGCTAAATCCCCAGCCCTTGATTTTTAATCTTTAGGTTGTTCTCTCATACATAAAAACATACACTGAGTGTTTAATTGTGCCAGAGACTGTTTTAAGTCTCCAGTTCTAAGAAGTAGACTCCAGATCTCAGCAACGAGACCTCTGCACGTACATTAGACCAAGAGCAACTGAAGAGCCATGCAATCTGGAAATTAGTGAAACATGATGTTTATATCTGAAACCTGAGCGCTGATTTAGTGCTTTTTAGCAGCTGCCACAGGGAAATAAGAACCATCTTGCTCTTAGATCCTAACTTGATGCTCTAACATCCTTCACAATAGCAATTTACTGAGAGATCAAAAATCATCGGACAGTTCCTACTGGTGGTCCGCTGACTGCGCCTGCTTAGTCACAGTGGTGATTCATAGCTGAATGAGCTCAGCAACAAGTCATTACCACTCAGCCAGGACAGCAGTGAGGAACAGGCCACTGGGAGGGGGGACAATGGGAAGGAAGGTAAGGCTGGCTCTGCTCACTGAATCATCCCTGATGAGAGAAATCAGGTATGTGCCCCAAGACCTAGCTGATCTCCAATGCAGATGACACTTGCAGTGTACAGATACATGTGCATATTTTGTATATCTGGGATATGGAGTTTTAAAAGAAAAGCAGCAGTACGAGTGTTTAAAAATAAAAGGAGGCAGAATTACACAAGTGAAGGTGAAGAAATATGTAGATAAACAGGATGTATCAAATCAAGGCCTCTCGTTCTTCAAACATGATCTACACAGAGATTTGATGGCTAAGCAGTAGGTATTATGGACAAAAGGTTAGCCATGTAGAGCTAAAATAAATAACCACTGTTTTCTACAATGAACAGGTAACATTCTGAGGCTACTGTAGTAACAGTATTGATAATGTTTCACTTTAACAATAGCTCTAAGTCACATATTCACTTATCTTCAGAGGTTCTTCTCATTCACAATTCCCAAATAAAAACTCTTGGCACCTACACCTTTCAGAACTTTTTTTAGTTTGAAAAATGCAGTACAGTACACAAACTGTATTATGCAAATAATATGTGTTCCAATTAGATCTGAAACAACATCAGATGATTAAGCATACAGGGCCGGGGATTTAGCTCAGTGGTTCCGCTGCTTGCCTCGCAAGCACAAGGACCCGAGTTCAATCCCTGGTACCAAAAAATATTTTTTAAAAAAAATAAACATACAGTATTTCTGTGAATGTGAACATTTACACATGGAACTCATCAGGTTTAATCAAAAAATTAAATTAGAACAAACTTTTCCGGAGTTTTGCTACTTGAAACTTTAAATAAGTTGGGATTATAAACTTGTACAAATGTTTACTTGGACTTACTTCATCTGGTTTTATAAATTACTATTCATACCTTCAGACTGTGTTTATGAAAAGTACATGTGATTACGATTCACCAGTAGGTGATGCAACTTGGGAGGCTGAGGCAAGACAATCATTTGAGCCTAGGAGTTAAGGGACAGACTAGGCAACATAATGAGACCCCCAACTGGAGAGGGGAGAGGAGGGAAGAAGAGGGGGGAGGTGGGAAGGAAAGGGGAAAGAAGCCGGGGGGGGGGGGTGGAGAAGGGAAGGAACAAGGAGGAAAGAGGGTGAGGAAGGTGAGGGAAGGAAGAGGAGCAAGTGATTTGATAACAGAAAGTATTACTGTGTGCTGTGTAGTGATTTATCTCTGTATAATTTTCTCCCTATGACTAAGTAACACACGACCACCAAACACGTATTTGTAGATCTTCTTACATGTCTGTTTTCTCTGCGTCTCCAAGCAGCTAACTCTTTAGAAGCCAGTTCTTCTGGACTCATTTTTATAAGATGATCAGGGGTTACTTCTCCTTTCAATACTTTTTTAAATAATATCTGAAATAATATAAAAATGGATGGGGAGACAAACAAGTGAAAAAGAAAGAGGAGCTACTGTGTAGAAACTTGTAATAAATAAAGACACAATTTTGATGCCTGATTTACAAATATTTCATGATTTATATATTACCTACTATACAGAGATTAAAGACAGAGGTTTCAAATCCTAAGGTAACAAAACACCTCATATAAAAACCAACAAATGGGGAGGCATGTATAGTGGAACCTTATATACGCATCCCAAAATTATATTGTCTGTCCAGGGGCTGAGCACAGTGGCATATGCCTGTAATCCCAGAACTCTGGGAGGCTGAGGCAGAAGAATACCAAATCCATGCCAGCCTGGGGAACTCAGTAACTGCAGTGAGACCCTGTCTTAAAATTTTAAGTTTTTTTTTAGAGGGCAAGGGGCCTGTAGTTCATTGTGAAGGCCCAGGGTTCAACCCCCAGTAGCACCTAAGTAAATAAGTAAACAGTCTACCCAGAAGCATCTGTCATGACCAAGCTGCCGTGTACGAAGGTACTACACAAAGACCTTTACTCAGTCTAATCCCTCCATATGTCTAAGATCTTACATGTTTAAATCCAGTCTTGAATTGGATCCAGAACAACGGATCAACTTCAAGAAAAAAATCTAAAGGAAATAAACACTTATTTAATTACTAAGGAAAAGCTACTGGGCTGTATAATTCAAGAAGTATCTAAAACCACGCATGGTGGTGCACACCTATAATCCCAGCATTCAGGAGGCTAACCAGGAAGATTACTGCGAATCTGAGGCCAGGTTGTACTACATAGTGAGTTCAAGACCAGTCTGAACTATACAGCAAGACCCTGTCTCAAAAAACAAACAAACAAAGGAAGAAGTATCTAATTCCTCTTGGACCACAAAAGCAGACTGTACAGTATGGACTTTTCTCAAGTAACTGTTTGAATGCTTCAAGGAAATACTTCAGATCAGACAGTTTTCCCTTAGTATCCCCGGGAATTAGTCCCAGGACCCCCACAGGAACCAAATTCCTCAGATGCTCAGGTCTCTTATACAGAGGATGCACTGTTCGCATGTGTCTCGGCACATATCCCTGGACAATCATGTGCCACACAACCTTTCAGTCAGTCACATGTACCACATGTAAGACAGTGGACTCAGAACTTATCACCAAGGGACAGGTAACATGTTCGTGTAAATACACTCTGCAATGCTTATGCAAGGCAACAATGCCTAACAATGAATGTTCTGGAGTACATCCCTGTTGGTAAGGAACATGGGACTGCAGTGTGAGTCATCTCTAGGGTAACTTAACACCATGTAAGTGCTACGTACACAGTTGTTACACTGCACAGCTAAAGGAATGATGATTAGAAAACACATCTGTATACATGTTCAGTACAGGTGCAATTTTGTAAAGTATGTTTGACCTGCTGTATATGGAAGACTGACTGGACTGTAGGAAATGTCCTTACACAAATTTCTGTCACTCATGTGAAAACTTCAAGTAAGGAGGTTCCATCTCATTACTTTCTATAACCTGGAGTCACTGGTAGCAAAAATTACTGCTGAACCTAAGTAAATGTAACACAATAGGGACGAATATGTTGGAATTCTGAAAATGTCCTGAAAATGTGTTGGAATTCTGAAACTGCACGGCTGCACTAAGGTACTCATCAAAGGCGTAACAGAGCCTGCTATGATGGCACCCTGGGAAGCTGAGGTCTGAGCCCAGCTCAGGCAACACATGGAGAATGTCTCAAAATTTTAAAAGGGATTAAAATATCTCAGTGCAAAAGACCCATGTTTAATCTCCAATAATGGGGGGGGGGAGTCTACCTAGATTTCCTAACTCTCAAAAAATTAGAGGTTATATTAATGTTTACTCTATTGCTAAAAGAGTTAGAACTAAAGTTATTTTAGTAAAAGTTTTTAAATCATTTTGGAGGGTCATTGTGTTTTATTATTGTTTTTCTTCCTGTCCAACAGTATCACCTCTTTGCCCAAGCTGTTTTTGTTTCCTGGGCTTAAACAATTCTCCTGCCTCAGCGTCCCAAGTAGGTAGAATTATAGATGCATGCCACCAGGCCCAGTTTTAGGTTTTTTAAAAAATCTAAATGTTATTTAGGTTTTTTTAAAAATCTAAATGTTATTTAGGTTTTTAAGGAGTATAGTTCTCTTTTAGGCTTACATCAAAAGCAGTAATAAAGCTTTAATGAATTTTAGCTGAATGGAGTTTCTAAAGAAAATATATGAATGAATTTTTAAAATAATCTGCATTATACAAGGGAGAGTCAAAGAAAGAAAACTGACATAAATGGGGTAAGATGAGCAGTGTATTCAACAGCATTGTACAGAACTACTCATCACTGCAGAGAACCCATGAATCTGGACTCCACAATCCCGCTCGGGACCAGCAAGCAGCTGAGTGACGAGTGCGTGCCTTGCCGGTCCTGCACACCCGGTGAGGAAGGGAGATCTACAGCGGGGTCCCACCCACGAGCTGTGCATCTGTACCAGCACATTCTCATCCCCACGTAAACAGCAAAGCTGAAAGCATAACTATCTAGACATGAACAAGACGTACTCACATTGTTTTTAGGGTCTTTCAGATTGAACATCAAACTTCTATATTTGTTCTTATATTTAGCATCTGTGTCTCGGAAAAAGGAGAAAAGCTCTTTTTCAATTTTTGTGGCAACTTTTGCTGCCTTTTCCTCTGGTACCTTCAAATTTGAGTCTGTAAGTCTTAAAAGCAGAACAATTTAATTATTTTGAGGGCACACAAAGCATGTTACTGAATCCTTTGCAGTAAAGATGTGTGTTACCTTTTCATGAGAATGTCCTTGAGAGAGTGTCTGACGCTCTGCCTGATCTGATCCGCAGAGGGCTTGGAAGTTGGAGCAGCGGCAGGATGCACACCAGGTGTCCCCTTTTCAGCTTTCTTTTTCTTTGGCTCTTGCTTCTCATGGGTGCCTGATTTGAACAAATATCAAAACTCATTATACTGTTTTCAAAAACATAATTCATAATCAAAATTAACTGATTGTCTATTTAGACATAATCCATAGTCCTTACTGAAATTGGAATCCACAGTCTCTACTGAAATATTCCTGACACTGAAATTCTAATGAAAATGAATAGTGATGAAAAAGTGGGCCTACAACTTTAAACCGTGTATGCTTTGTTCCCAATTTAGATAATGGTTGTTCAGAGCTGCTTTTCAAATATATGCATTAATTAACAATCTATACATTAAAAAGTTATTTAGAAAATTTACCTGAACTTATTAGATGAACAGATAATTTAATGACCTTACAAAGTCATAAAAATAGTAAGTTCTTTTCCTAGTTACATTTGATATTAATTTGAATGTTAAGCTTGTCGCTTGGTTTTTCTATCATTACTAATTCCCACAAATCTCCAAAGTCTCAATGTCAAATATCGCACTACTCTGATCTGTCATGCCAGCTCATTTGTTCAACAATCTCTCATTTCCACAATCGTTTTCTTTCTTCTTTTTTTGGCATTTTAAAAACATTTGGTTTTAACTGATACACAAAAGCAAACATTATACATATTAACAAAGTACTATGTAATATTTTGGTACATGCACACACTGTGTAATGTTTAAATCAGATTAAATATATCTACTTCTTTCAACACTGGCCATTGGATAAAGATGAAAACATTCAAAATCCTTTCTTCTAGATTTTTTAAATATACAGAACATTATCGTTATTTACAATACCCTCCTGTGCAATAACACACGGGAACTCCTTGCTCCTTTCTGACTATAATTCAATACCTACTCATCAGACTTCCCGATTTCTCCCCATACCCTACTCTCCTCTGCCTCTGCTAATCGACATTCCAGTCCCAACTTCTACGAGGACCAACTTTTTAAAATTCCAAATACAGGTGAGATTGTGCACCCAATTCCATCTATGCTGCAGCAACTGATAGGATTTCACTCTTCTTTATGGCAGCATATTCAATTGTGTATGTATACATTTCCTTTATCCATTCATCAACTGATGGGCACTGCCATTTCTTGGCTAATGCATAACGCCACCGTGAAGACAGCTGTGCAGACAACTCTTCACTATGCTGATCTCACTTTCTGTGAATGCATGACTAGGAGCAGGACTGCTGGAGCACATGGCAGAACATCCTGTTTCCGTGGTGCGGTACTGAGGTACGGGTCCACCACCAGGGTGTACACCCTCCACACCCTCACCAGCACTGTGACCTGCAGCCTTCTCCCTGGGATGAGTGATAATCCCACTGTGGTTCTGATTTGCATTTGTCTGATGATTAGAGAGATGTAAAGCATTTTTTTTTCATGTACTTGTCTCTCCAACAATGCTTAAGTCCATCACCTTTACCATCTCCATGGCCTTCTCTCCCACATAACCCAAATCACACAGTACAACACTATTACCACTCCTGTGCACATGAAAGACCTTCACTCTCTCCTTTAAACATTCAGAACCTTGATGAAAGCCAACTTTTATCCTTCACACACACAGGCTACAAACATCTGAAAATAACTAGAGATAAATAAGCACCGGTACTTAACAGATCTCATTTTAAATTTATAATCATAAACACAAAGTAAGTAACTTAACATTCTTCCCTATTAAAATTTCCCAACAAACCTGCTCTCCCACTTTTCAAACCACAAATTTCACACTTTTTTCTCGTCCTCTCAAGCCAATAACGGTTGCTTCCCACCTTCAACCTCATTTGATTTGCTCACTCACATCTCACTGAGAAAATAGAAAATGTCAGCTAACACATCCTGCCATCACCAAAGTGACCCTGTCTGTGTCAGTCTTCTTTCTTCCATCTTACCACGTACAATCCTCCCTACTACGTTTACGGTGAGCATTATCCCTAAACCAAAAATCCCAAGTCTGAAAGATTTAAGCATGGACAAGATGCTCAAGAACTTTTTAATTTTGGCCAGAGCACCAAGACAAAAGAAATAAAGGGCATCCAAATAGGAAAGGAAGGGGTCAGCTGACAAGATTTTATACATTAGAAACCTTAAGACTTAACTGAAAACCTCTTAGAAACGATAAATGAGTCAATAAGGTTGCAGACTGTAAAATCAATATATAAAAATAAACAGCTTCTACGAAATGAAAACTTTACTAAACTGAGAAATCAAGAAAGCAATTCTATTCTCAATGGCTATAAAAAATTATAGCTCTCTAGAAATTAAATAACAAGTGAAGTAAATGATCTTTATGACAAGTACAAAACACTGGTGAAACAAACTGAAGAACCCCCGACAGACCCATACGTTCACAAACTGAAATAACATTGTTAAAATGTCCACGCTTCCCAATCAATCTACAGATTCAATGCAATATTTATCAACATATCAATGACATTCATAGCAATAGAAAAGTACAGTCCTAAAATTTGTAGGGAATCACAAGATTCCCAAAGACCCAAAGCAATCCTGAGCAAAGAGAACAAACAAAGCTTAAGGCATTAAAGTCTCTGAGTTCAAGATACACAATAGACAGCAACCAAAACAGCATGGTGATAGCATAAAACAGGCACATACACCAAAGGAATAGAACAGACAATCCAGAAGTAAATTCACATATTTACAACCACATTTTTTTGGCCATGTTGTTCAGGCTGGCCTTGAACTCATGGTGATTCTCCTGCCTCAGACTCCCAAGTCCTAGATTACAAGTGTGCACCACCATATCCAGCTTACAATCAACTGATTTTTTAATAAAAGCAACCAAGATCTTACACTGGAAAAAGACTCTTCAATTAATGGTTCTTGGAAAACACACATACCATAGCATCTTCTTTAACAAATAAATTCCTTGACTACACATTCCCCTAGCTACCACACCATTTCTGTTGGCTTACACAGCAAAACTCCTGGATAAAACTGGAGTTATCTGTTCTCTACCTTTACATTCTTCTACAAACTACTACAATTGGTTTTTGTCCCTACCGCTCCACTGAAGCCATTCTAGTCATCAATGATCTTTTTTTGTTTTGTGACAGGGTCACACTATGTAGTTCGGGCTGCCTTGAACTCCTGGCAATCCCTGTCTCACTCAGCCTTCCCTGAGCGCTGGGATTATAGGCATACACCATCATGCCTGGCAATTATCTCTACTAAATCACACATGTAACAGTGTGTGTTCATTTTATTAGACATCCAGATGTACTGACAAACTTCATCTGGCTTTGGGCCACCACAGTTCCTCAGTTCTCCTCTTCCCTACCAGGACCTCACCTCTTCTGTTAAGCCTACTTTGCTGGACGCTCCTCTCCCAAATTCTTTTTTTTTTGTTTTGTTTTGTTTTTGTTTTGTTTTGTTTTTTTTGGTACTGGGGATCGAACTCGGGACCTTGTGCTTTCGAGGCAGGCACCGGAACCACCAAGCTAAATCCCCAGCCCCCCAAATTCTAAAGCTGCTGTTCTAAGGGCTCTGCTTCTACCCTGCATAACAGATCTCTATCGCTGTGCATACCACGCCATGCCTTCAAGACCACGGCCATGCACGGAGCACACTGGACACACACACCGGCCTCTGAGCCCCCTGTAGCTCCAGACTCATCCTCAGTGGGCTCAGTCTCTGCACCTGGGTGTCTGACAGTTTCTTTTTGAAGCAAAACATTTGTCAGCACATTTTAGATATAATGATCTTATTTATCATAGGGAATCTGTACCTGTACATGATATAACTTGCTTCTTTTTCCCCATTCCCTCTTCAACCCCTCTTCCCCTCCTTATTTACAAAAACTTTGTTTCCATTTTCTCTCCCTGTTCCTTCTTTCCTTTCCCTCTTCCCTTGTTCCCCTTCTCATTTGAACATTTTCTTCCCATCTCCCAGTATCTATTATGCATTTTGGTCCTTATTCCACTTCTGGTTTCTCACACCAGAGAAACAACGAGGTATTTAAACATGTGTGTCCGATTTATTTCACCTAAGAGTGTGATCTCAAGGTGGATGTCTAACAGTTTTAATGACCAAAATTTTTCAATTTTCCTCCCCAAGTCTTTTTCTCTTTTTTCTCTTGATAAATGACACCAACACTTTTCCCAGATATCCTCTAAGCCTCTCATCTACTTATATCCATCCAGTCCACCAGTGAGTTCTGTCAACTCTACTGTGAAGCACCTCTTTCTTGACTTCTCACCACCTCTACGGCACCTATCCCCTGCCGCTGTCACTGCTCTCAGAGAACACTGCTTCAGACTCATAGGTGGTATGCTTTTTCTCCTGCTTCCTGTAGGTCTGCATTCACAGAGCAACCACTCCTTCGAGTAAAACTTTCTAAGGGTTTCCCAGAATAGTCTCTGAACTCTTCTTCTACTATCACTCTACCCCTCACACATTACTTTCCACTCCCTTCACACTAACTCCTCAGATCAACGCCAAGCTTGTTTTTCCACAAAGCTTACATTTTATGTGCCACTCACCTACATCCTCGTCCAAACACTCTGCGTCCTTTCAATCCCAGTTACCAGCTCCTTCCATCTAAACTGCTTCCACCTCTCTCCCTCCTGAGGCTCTCTGCCCATCACCACACCTTTCCTTCGCAGTCTCTAAAACAGCATATTGCCTGCTCACTTTTCAACTTCCTGTCCTGCCTTCTCCCAGAAATACCAAGGGCTAGTAAGGCAAGAGCCTTAAGTTCACTAGTGTTTCCTCAAAATTCAAAGTAATTCTTTTTAATTACAGTAAGACCAATAATTTGCCACTAAAATGTTAATTTAAAATATGTCCCTAAATATAGTAAGTCTCCAACTAGGAACAGTCTCCTGGGATGGAACGTGCTCTTAACCAGGGATTTACTGTACACTAACTGTGCATGAAACAAGACGTAAGTTAGTACATAACAATTTCTGTTAATCTCACTGCCTGGTTTTGGAGCTGTACAAATAATGTTTGTAGCTTCTTTTGGTATTTTTTCACTCTTTTCTTCTGAGGATCTCCGAGGTAAAGCTGGTTGTCCAGTCCTTCGAAGAGGAGCTAGCTGCCATTTTTTAATTTCATTATCTCTACAGTCTGATGAGTTTCTGCCTTCAGGAGATTCCTGGAAAAACAGTACGTAATTCATTAACATTGAAAACCAGTAAATAATCTTTAAATACAAAGCAAGCATCAGTAGTAATGCCAGGCACGGTGGTTCATGCCAGTTAACCCCAGCACTCAAGAGGCTGAGGCAGGAAGACTTTCATGAGTTGAGGCCAGCCTGTACTGCAGAGTTCAAGCCCAGCCTGAATTACAGAGCAAGAGCCTGTCTCCAAAAACCACATACACAAAAAAAAACCCAAAAAAGTATACAGATTAAAAAAATTTTAACCAAAGCAGTAGTGTTACAACACATGAAGAAAACAAACATATTTCAGCCCATTAAACATTTAAAGATTTTAAAAAGATATATAAAAATAGGTCCTATTAGTAAAAAGAAGATTCATTCTCACTCAAAATCTATTTGATAAGCAGCTATTTTCTGCAGAACACGCAATAGCCTATAAAAGAGGGAAAACAGTAACGTAACAGCTCATGTTTCCAAAACTGTTAGGAAAAATTAGATATAAGGTAATAAACAGTTCTTAATTGGCTGTAGAATCAGATGAGATTGGGCACGTTTAGGGTGGTATGGCCGTAGACAATTGGCTGTAGAGTCAGAAAAAGAAATTGTGGAGAAACAAGCACCTACATTTTTCAATGTATTTCTAAAGGAAATGAGGTTACACTTGTTGATAAGCAAGTGTATCAAAGAAGTTCTCAGTGTGTTTAGAGTAAACCATCAATAAATATACTTGCGACTCTGGCCCTAATTATAACCCACGAAGAATTACAGTGGTACTTCAGTTCACAAACTCAATTCTCTCCATGATTCTGGTCAAAAACTGAGCTGGACGAGGACCGAATCAAATTTCCCCATAAGGTCAACACTGAACTAACCCACTGAATTACCTTCGGTTCTCATCCAACTCAGTTTGTGACCAGAATCGTGGAAAGAATCAAGTTCATAAACTGAGGTACCACTATACTAGTGAAACTGGAATTCTGAGACCCTAGGAGAATTTAACCACATCATATCAATGTGCTTAAAAGACAGGAGGAAGAATATTGTGCATACACATATAACTTTTAAGACAGAGTACATATACCTGATTTTCTCTAGAACAGAAGCCCTATAATTGTTTCTTCACGTTTTTTACCTCCCCAAAAAAACTTCCTTCAGTGTACAAACACATTTCAAGGTATATACTAAGTCTGACTGTACCATGCTTGACACACAATAGAAACTCAGTAAGTGGTTTCATATAAAAATATAAGGATAAAAAGTGACATATGCAAAGCATTCTCCATAAAATAACATCAGAAAGATTAAGATTCAATAGTTCACCATGAAATGAAAAGGGGGTAATGATCATGTGGAAGGTACATGTATTTACAAAATCAGACTTCTTTTTGATATAGATACTGGATAGAGAAATTTCTTAATATTAACAATGCTAATGTCTTTTCAGGCAAGACAAACAACTCATGATAATACAATATATTTCTAAATGGCCAAGAAGTTATACACAAGAGGTAACTATTAAGTTAATGATACACAGAAGTTTCCCCCCCAGAGACCTGACATAAACTGTTCTTAATAGAGCTCTCAGGTCCATATTATCAATTACTTTGATGCCGACCAAGTCAACAAAGCAACAAAAAGTATCAGAAAGATACAATCTGATGCATGCAGTCTTGGCAAGCAGAAAATGTTGTATCCTGCCAGGACTCAGCAACCTGAAACTCAATCCCAATTTGTCACACAGGACAATCTGAAAGAATTAAGTTTGTAAACAATGGAGAAGACTCTGGAGAAAACAGGCTCATGCTCTTCAATCTGAACTACTTTCCTTTATCATGCAGAAAAATTAGCTTTAATAGGGAGGCTTCAGAAAACTTTTTCAGGGATGCAATTTTGGTTCAAACTGAAAAGCTTCGCAACATCAGATCTACTTAAAGTGAAAACATTCTCTCACACTGCTTTTCAAATGGGAACTAGAGCTTCTTTTCCTAGAAATGTAGAGCATATTAACAAATAGGAATGTTTTGATTAAAAGATTTCTAGGCTTCTTCCCAGTTAAATTGATGTTGCCTCTTGGACCCTTGTACTTGTCTGTTTACACATGTGCTGCCACTGTATTTGCTCCACAGCAGGACTCTATAACCAATCAAGGATCAGAAAAGGCACAGGTAATTCAATTATCAGATAAAATGGGGTATGTGATACACTTCTCCTGTTAAAGACTAAATACCTTAACGTTTACTCTTTGTGTGTGTGTGGTGGTATTGAGGATCAAACCCAGGGCTCTGCACACGCTACACAGATAAGCCTTCTGCCAATGAGCTACGTCCTCAGCGCTTTGAACTTTGTTTTAAAAATACTTTCAGAATATGGTTAAAATACAAGTATAAGACCAGGGAAAACTGATAACTTTCTATGAGTTCACATTTTAAGAGAAAAATTATGAGAGTTCCCAAGAAAATATAAGAAGAGGGTAAAAAAAATTACTTTCCTTACCAACAAACAACACAACAACAAAAACTCTTCCAATTCGAAAATAACACTGCCAAATGGCTAGAGGATTGGTAGACAGTGACAGCCTGAAAAGTTTTGTTTGCAGCACTGGGGGTCAAAGCTAATGTCTTCCCACGGGGCTACACTCCCAGGCCTTTCTCCAGTCTCATTCTGAGACAGGCTCTAAGTGGCTAACTTGCCCGGGCTGAGCTCCAGCTTGCACCCTTCCTGCCTCAGTCTCCCAGAGTGTTAGGGTTACAGGCCAAATGGAAAGCTATTTTTAAAAACATCTAGCAAGCACAACTTCTACCTAAGGCCACAAGAACACACACACCCCTTATCTCAGAAAATTCAAGTACCAAACGACAGCCTAAAACTGGCACAAAAGATGATGGGAAATAAGGCTTTTGTGCTCTATGTCACTATCTGGTTTCACTCAGAATGCCAAACAAATCTTAAATAAAAATCAATATACTTTTATAAAAAAAAATTTCAAAGTATACACCACCACAACAAAATCCAAAAAAGAAACTTCAAAAATTTCAGGGTCCATACAAAGTTCCAAACAACAGAACATAACTAATGGAAAGCTTACCCGTTTTAAAATTTTGACCTTGTGCTTCACTGCATCATCTATACATTTGGTTTTGTCATTTGTTGTCATGTGCTTTGATAATCCGAGCTTTTCGCATTCCATTTTTTTATCTTCACTATGAACTTCAACTGTACCTTGATTTTCAAAAAAGTCTGTGTCTACAACTTCAGTCTTTCTATCCTCTTCCATGCAGCACTTCACACACACGTACTCTTTATCCTCCTCGCCCATCTGCTGAGCCTGGGAAAGACTGAGCCCGACACAGTCCCCATGGAACCAGTCATCACATCGCCCGCAGCCGACCATGAACCTGAAAAGCAAGGGCAGAAAGAGAGAAGTATGTTGAAAAATTAACGTTGAAAGTGAGACTAAAATAAATTTTCAATGTGATTTTGTTATTTTGCATGCTTTCCACCTTTACTCATTTCTAAATTCAACATGGAGCAACATTCAAGGAATATTCTAGGAAAATGGAACCTTTAAGACTTCAAATATTTCCCCTCTGGTGCAAGTGAAAAACTACTTCGAGGGTTATCATTTGAATAAAAACAAAGAACAGGTCTTTGGAAATACGGAATACTATATAAAACAAAGGGTAAGGCCTCTGCAGTGGGGGTGGCAACATCTTTGTGATAATCCCACCATCCATCCAAGTTACACCTATATTACCTAAGCTCTGAAATCACACACTCAACTGTGAAGCAGTGCTTATGCAAGATTGTCACATGACAAAAAGAAAAGTAAGTCCAAAACTTAACAGAGCCTCTCAAACTGTTTATTAACCAGTTTAACATAAGCTCAAGCAATTCAGAGGCACGTGGTGTCACATGGGTTCAGCTAAACAATCTTTTTATGCACTACTGGGGATGGATTTTCTCACTGATACCCATGTGTTTTAAATTGAGTGGTTAAGTTTTCCCCTTTATTGCATTTTAACTAAGAAATAACCTCCCTAACCATTAAGTGAAAAAGCACAAGATTTGTGGTTCTGAAAAAGCTATTAATTTAGAAGTTAACTTTTGAGTAAAATCACGATATATAATAGCAATTTAAGGAGGAAATTACCTTTTTACATTTTAGCTCATTAAGCTATAAAGCTCACTTCATATACTCATGTTTAGTATCTTTTTTTCTTCAGGCCAGTAATTCATGGTATGTTTGAATGAGTTATTCAAGTATGTTCTCTCAACATGAAAAGCTTTTGTGCCAATGATTTTCATAGCTGTGGCACCACCAGTCTCAAACATCTCTGAAATACTGTAGTGCAATAGGATGTTAAAGGTAATATGCTGATAGGACACGGTCAACTCACTCTAAATACAGCAGAGGTCCTGGTTTAGTGTTAGAACCACAGCAACCAGAACGCCACCCTCCCATGGTGTTTCTAGTCAGCCTCACTGGCAGCACTTCCCTCTCTTCCTCCCCTAGGCTGTTTCACTGTGTGCCAAACTACTGCTAGCTTTACGGCTTCGTCATGTCTTCAAAGTCTACAATGAGTCTTAACCCTCACTAGTGATGCTTTGCTAGCATTAGCATTTAAGTCCTCATCTTTCCAACAGTGAATTTGTTTGAAAAATAAAAATATAAAATGCTTCAGATTTACAAGCCAAGTTTAGAAAACTTTCAAACAATGTAATATTTGTTAAGACAGAAATAGTTTCTGTAGGCTTCAGAATTCTGATAGCTTCATGTTTCAGTTTCTATATTCTAGCCAACAAGAAAAATGTTTTAAATAATACAACATCTTTAATGTTGTTCCATTTCAGGTGTTACAAAGTTAGAATTATTTCTTGAAAGCAACCATCTAATAGAAATAGCTTTGAGATACTGAAGGATAAAGCAAATGGGGATGTTCCTTTATTCTCACAAACTGTGTTACGATTTCTTCAAAGCAAGTCTGGAATGGTTTCAGTAAAAACCTAGACCATGCTTTTGACTCAAATCCAATTCTAAATATCAAATTACAAAGCACAAAAGTGTTTCCAAACTTTTATTTTACTTAACCTTTACGATCATAAAATTTATCAATTATTACACCATGGTTTGTTCAAAGTTTTTTCTGGCAAAGTCCCACTCATATTTGAGAGGCCTGAGAAGCAAACCTCTAAACTATTAAGATAACATCGGGTTTAATGTAAAACAATGCAGTTAAATAAAATTTTCTGAGAAATCGGGAAAAAATGACAATGACCACATCGTACAGGAAATTAAAATTCACTTTAAAATAAAACTGATTACACAAAAATGTAAATACTGATCATGTGTAAGTCTAACACTGGGAAGTACCATGAACTTTTTCAACTATGTTTAAAAAAAATAAAAAGATGGCTTCACACACAAAATATGCTTTTTGTTTCCTTGTCAAGGTACTACTCTACTTTAAAAAACATGAGAAATGGGGGAGGGACACAGTAGTGAGACTTAACTGCAGTAGGGGAGTTAGCTCACAATTATTCTATCATTTCTGACTTTGTCCTTCAATTTCTTATTACCAAAAGAAGAAATCACCTTTAGGAAAATACTATAACCTACACAGTAAGTCTGACTGCAGAATGAACGTTATGTGGCATTTAGCTCTGGGTCAGTTAACTGGATCAAATCAGCATAAATCAGCTAAGTGAAGACTGCAGCAATACTTGTGTTGTCTTCTTCTATTATATGTTCATATAGAAATGAAAAACAAAAAACTAAACTAGATCAACAATTAAAAAACAATTTAAAGTCCTTATCTATATTTTCGCAAAAGCCAAACATATGCTTGGAAATCTTTCAAGTTTCTTCAAAGCAAGCTTACAGAGGCAACTCTGAAGCCTCCTCATCTTAACAAATGCATACCCCAAACTCAATGAGACACTGCAGGTGCTACATAAGATGGGTCTGTTACAGTCCTAGACCGTTTTATTGAGACTGGGTGTCCTCACTATTCCAAGATGCAAGGATTCTACTGTGAACGTTTTGTTTAAGAAGCTGCCTAAAACAACCCATTTTCCTGAGATTTTCTTTTCGAGTTTAAAATGTCACCCAGTCTACAACATGGTCCAAAAAAGTACAACGCAAATTAAAGATACAAGTATCTTTTGGAGAAGTGGGGAAATAGAAACAAGGTAGATAATATGAAAAGACTATGACCTGGTTCCTTTCAAAATGCCAAACACTCATGTTGAAAAGTTCAAAAGTCATATTTGAAAATAAACACAGGACTAAAGAGTCTAGTTTTTAAAATAATGTTTGGTGTTAACACTGAATCAGGAAAATGGAATCAAAAGATCCATTTTGGTGTAGTGAAGGATCAGTATCTGTCAGAATACAACATACACAGAAGTTGCTTATTGTTAAATATTGCATCTGGCTATGCCACGAGTAGCTGTATTACAAAATGTAATTTCCAACTGGATGCATGAGGAAACTAATCCCAGTTGCAAAATGTGTAAGATACTAAAGAGTTTTTGTGTTTTTTGTACCAGGGATCGAACTTGGGACCTTGTGCTTACAAGATATTAAAGAGTTTAAAGTCTTTACAGAAGCAAAGCTGTCACAAGTCCTAGAAACTATCACACTTACTATATTAACAGACTTCAATGTGACCAGTGCATAAAATTAAAGATAATTATTTCCATTTATTTTGCTAATAAATGTATACTCTTATGTGTGGATTAAAATAGGAAAATTACATATTGTGTGAAAGGTACATTTTTTGAGTAAATTCAACATATGCAAATACAATATAAAGTAGTAGTGAAGACTAGTTAAATATCACTCAGGCTTCTTTATTGACAAGACTGAAGCAATCTCAAAATCTACTTTCAAAATTGGCCGTTTCCAGTGTCACTTTATGTTATCCAAATCAATGGCACAGGTGAACCCAAAATTTCTATACATCTAATATGCTAAGTCATTTTCCAGACTTACAGCAATGAAACTGGATTTTATAGAGAAGATCCTAAAGAGAGTATTGAGTTATAAAGATTTTTTGGGGGGGGCTGGGGATTTAGCTCAGTGGTTCTGCCATCTGCCTCGCAAGCGCAAGGCCCCAAGTTTGATCCCCGGTACCAAAAAAAGATTTTTTTTTTTTTACATGAAACTGTCACTTTAGAAAATAACTTCTGATGTTGATGAAATAATACACCCATCATTAAAAAGTCTGGACTAGGCCAGGCGTGGTGGGGCACACCAGTAATCTCAGTACAGGGGAGGCTGCGGCAGGAAGATTGCAGCAAGTTTGAGGCCAGCCTGGGCTACATACATAGTCAGTTCAAGGCTAGCCTGGACTACATAGTGAGACTCTGTCTCAAAAAAAAAAAAAAAAAAAGAGAAAAAGAGAAAAAAGTCTGGGCAAACTCCAGACGACTGGGCCATCAGGACACTAGCATATCTATAAAAAAGTAGCTTCCAACTCCATGTCAAAAATTCTCACTTCTCTAACCACTTCAGAGTGATGCTTAGAAGACTCTAGCGGACAGAAAGGTGCTTTTATTAAAAGGGCACTTAACAGCACCATCTACATCTGAATTCCCTCACGTCTAAAAACAGTAAGCTCACTTTACAGTATCTGAATGAAGTGTTCTAAATGAAAAATTCTAAGGAGTCTGTAAGTGGCACAAATATAGCACTGTATCCAAACAAGTTACTGCATTTTAAAATGGCGCTGTATTTTGTTACAAAGTAAACCCTAGCACTGAAACTTGGGCTTGAGCTAAATCATAAATGAAGCTGTGTAACACAGCACTTGTATTTTAGAGATAGCCTCATAACCCCCCTCCTATGCTCCCCAACCACTCCCTCCCCACCGAAATAATGTACTACAAAATACTTAATTGTCCTCTAAATTTTGAGTTTAATTTTTATGTACTCTAACAATGCTGGAAAATGTCACCAATATTAACATTCAAGTTATTTCTTTTTATCTTAGTGTTGATAGAAGCTCCAACAGCAATGTGAACATTTAATGAGGACAATCTTGTAGATGCACATTCCATTTCATCTCATTTTCCTTTTCTTAAAAAAGCTAGCAAATAAAAAAAAATACACTGGGAGGGGGAAGGCAGTGTCACAGAACTATTAAAGATGGAATCTTAAAAAATAATCAAAAGCAATGCTAAAATCAACTCTAAAATTTTGAAAGATTTGAATTCGTAAGAAATTCTTGGAATCACTAAAACATTTTGATAGTAGTACATATTTTCACTCTATCTCATGTTACATACAAATTCTTCTGGGTTATCAAACAGTTGTTTTAGCTATCAAATTTTATTACAAGCTTGTCTGAGTTTTGAGATAACAGTATTGTCTTTAATGTGCATCTTTTAAAAAACCTTCAAAAGAAAAACAGAATTTCCTCTATCATCTTTACTTTTTATTGCTAGGTCTTCTCTGGCCAATTAAAATGCAGTCCCAAGACAGCATAAGTTTTCTGATTTGGAAAAAGGTTTTGGTTTTGTTTTCAAATGCAATGACTAAATTACACTATCTGGTTACAAAGACAAAACATGTCCATTGTATCAGCTGTTGATCAGACTACACTTTTAAAAATGTAATGGGATGGCACAATTTAGGAATTCAGTAGCTCCATCTTTCTATCATTATCCAGGGCTGATGAAGGTTTCTGAGGATTTTGCAAACGTCTTTGTATATTAAATAATTTCTTTCTATAAAAAAGTTCTCAGACCAACCCCACCCTCCAAAACACAATTTCTCTTCCATGCACACGTCACGCATATGCACGCACACACACCTGTTGCCATGTGGTTTTTTGCAAAACCCACACTGCTTGCTGGGAGCCCACATGGATTTGCTCTCAAACACGGAGCTGTGATCCAAACATTCTCTTTTTACAGTAGCTATGTTGTCTGGAATGAACAATGGCGGTTCATCCAAAGAAAAACTTCTGCTGCTTCTTCTCTGCCGAGGCTGCAGGTTCTTCTCGGGTTTTTTTAGTCTCAGCTTATCTTCATCCCTACACTGCTCAAGGATGGGGTACTCTGGCTCTTCCTTCACGTGACTGGTGACTCTTGCTGCTGGTGCCTGCAGCTGAGGCCTATGGCCCTGCCTGTGGCTGGGGTGCAGTGAGTGTCCCACGTGTGCAGGACTAGGGTGACTGTGAGCAAGCTTATCGCTCAGAGAATGAGTTACAGGCTTGGAGGTTTGCACTAAATCTTGATCCTGTGATGTTTTCTTGAGTACAAAATGAGCTTGGTTTTTCACAGCCTTAACCCCAGAATTACAGCTTTGAGTTTTTAGTTTCTTATCAATTTTTTTTCTCACTTTAACTGGCCTATGAAAATTTTGCTGGGATTCTGGTTCATCTGCATTTCGTTTCACACTTTTGACATTAGTTTTGTTATGCACTACTGCATGCTTTGCTGCAACAATTTTCCTCAGGGTATCTGTGGTCATGTTTTGCTTAGAATAAGTTACAGGTTTTGTATGTTTGGGTTTGTTTTTTGATTCTACACCGGAAACATTACTTGACTGGCTGCTTCTGTCATTCTGAAGGTTTGCTGTCGCCTGAGACTCCATTTGAATACTTTCAATAATGTTCAACTGTTCTGAATTTTGGTCAGACACATCACAAACAGCATTTTCTAAAATATTACCTTCTGGTTCGAAAGCATTAGAACCAACCACCTCTAACACTGATTTATTAAACTCGGTGCTCTTTAACTGTGTATCACTAGACTCTGTGTCTTCACAGTAACCCAATGGCTCCACTTTATTTCTCAGAAGGGAGTTCTCTGCTTTATCAACATCCATGGTACTCAGTTTCAAATTACAATCGGTCTCTTCATCCACTGAACCAGACAAACCTACAAGATTCTTTTCTGTGCTGTTTGCATTTATACAAGCAACATCACCAGAAATACCAGCAGAAGATTCAGGCTCCTCAATAATTTGGTCATCTTCATGGGATAATTTTACTATCTCCTTTGATTCCTGTTCAGGTTCTTCCTTCACCATATTTTCTTCAATGGTCTCATCCATTTTACCTGAAATGGAATCATTCTGTTCATCTCCCTCCTTATCTGAAAACTTAAACAACGGGCTGCTATCAGTCTGGATTTTACATTCCATCAGAGCTTCAGTTTTCTTTTCTTCAATAGGAACACAAGTCTCTGAAAGAAGTGGACAATGTAATTCACCAGATCGCACAGGGGCTTCTCCCTGATTATTACACTCAGGCCTGGACTCCAACCCAGCGTCATCCTTCATTTCAAGGCAAGACGGTGCTGAAGAGTGGCCTGAAGTCACTGCTACCTCTGGTACCACTTCTATTTGTCCAGTAAGCCGGCTGCTCCTTCTGTTCTCCCGCTGGTACTCGGGCTTTAGAGATGCGCAGACTTCCTCTTTACCCTGACATCTTTCTGGTTGTCTCACCCCTGCCTTTGGGGCAGATACAGTCTTCCCAGATGCTTTTTTTGTGCTACTTAATGGTGCGGCATTTGAACGCTTGGCAATAGTGCTTTGTCGCAAACTTCTTACTTGTTCTATTACAAGGGGAAAAAATAAATAAAAATGACTTAGCTATTGTGCCATGTGTTTTCATTTCACTAAAATTTAAAATATATCACTTTATTCTGACCTATAAAAAACTTATTTCATCATTTTAACAAAAAAAAAAGTACTCAGTTATATAACCTAACATAATCACATACACTAAAATATATGTAATTTAATGTGTACATGCTAATTTTATACTTATCAAAGTTCTCTGAATTCTGATGGAGGAAAAAACTATGAAATTCAGAACGATATTGTAACTTAAGACAAGATATGTTTTCATCTAGTCTTTTTCCATAAGACACTGGAAATAAAAGTTAGTAAAATGAGCTTCCTTTACCATGAATGCCCATCTTAAAGAATAGTATATATTTTTAAACATTAAATATTTCTAAATTTTAAGAAAAAAACCCAGCTGTGGTGATGGACACCTATAATCCCAGCACTTTGGTAGGCTGAGACAGAAGGATCACCCAAGTCAAGTCCCACCTGGACAAGACAGCAAGACTCTGCCTCAAAAAAATTTTAATTTAAGAAGAGCTAGGGATGCAGCTCAAGGATAGAGCACCATGGTTTCAACTCCTGGTACTGCAAAAATTAAAGTTTAAAAAAAATTAGCCAGGGACTTAGCTCAGTGGTTCCGCCACCTGCCTCACAAGCGCAAGGTCCGGAGTTCAACTGTCAGTACCAAAAAAAAAAAAACACCCTGTCTTAAAAAATTTAAATGCCAAAAATATTTGATCCTATCACAAAAAGGATCTCTGTAAGCTGTAAGATGCAACTTCAAAAGGTCTCAATTCCTTTTTTGATGTATTTCTCACATCATCTTTTAGCAGTGAAGCTATTCCTAAAAAGTGAACTGTATGTCAGAGTACCACACACAGATCACTGAAAGAAAAAAAAAAAATGGAAGACTTCAACCAAGAAAAGGTATCATAGGAGAAAATAAAGGATAGTATGAAAAATGTAATAAAGCTTCCCCATCTGTAAAATTCCTCTGTTTCTATCCTAAATGGCAGTGCAGTACAATACACAGAAATCTGAAAATCATGTGCTGCACACTGACGGCTTCTCTCAGATCCCGGTTCTGCAGACACTGCCCACGGAGCACTAGAGCTTGAGTGCTGCTGGGGGCAGTGGAGAGTGAGGCCGCTCACATGGCAGTGCTCCCACCTCAGTCCCAGCTCCCGTCCTCACACAGGAGCTTCAGTTGAGGATCTAACACTCAGGAAAACCTCAAACATACGGAACAGAAGCTGAACTTTTGAAAATGACTTTTAAACAAAACTATGCAAGGAAATAAAAACTTTTTGAAACACCTTTAGTATCTCAATAAAAATAAGATACTACATCTATAAAATAAGAACAGACTGTTACAAAAGGACCATTCCCAAAACAAAAGAACATGTGGAAATTACAAGTACAAAACTTGATAAAAAGGTTTGAGGATAAGTACGAGATAATTTCAGAAGTCAAGGAAAAAGATGAAGTGGAGAATAGGCAGAGTAAAGAAAATGGAAAGACCAATTACATAAAAGGACTTTCAGAAAACAAGAGTTGAGAAAATAAAGAGAATTAACAATGAAATAAATAATTCAAGGAATTTTCTCAGAAATGAAAAACAATTTTCAGAGTAAAGGATCTAATTAAATACCAGGTTAATACATAAATACACTCATACCAACATACATTACCATGAAATATCAAAATACAGAACTAGAGATGAGGAGGAAGATTCTGTAAACTTCCAGTAGAAAGTAGACAACAAATCTCCAAAACATCAGAATAAACTTCTTACGAACACTTAAGTTAGAAGAAAATGGAGCAACAGCTTCAAATTTCTAAAGAAAAGCAATTTTCAGTCTTGAATTTTATGTCTACCCAAACCATGACTCCATTCTGAGAACAGACTCAATAAATCTACAAACAGAAAAAGTTTTAAAAGTCCATCTCTATATTCCTTTCCCTCACAAGTTACTGGGAGAGGTGCATCGCACAACCAAGGAGGAGTTCAACTGAAGAGGAGCAAATGGGAAGGAACCAAGTGCATACGCTTCAAGTGAATGGCACAGGGACACCCTTGACAGACCTGCACCAGGTTAGAGGGCTCAGCCCCAAGCACCTAGCAGTGGGCAGAGGCATCGGAGACGCTGCCTTAATAAAATGAAGAGGACAAGAGTACTGACAGGCACACATTTCTTTGGGAAAGATTTAGACAACTGGTAGAGTAAGATCCACAGTACACAAGTGAAAAGTAAAAACAATCAAATCTGAAAGACAAAATATTATAGGGGAAAGGAAAAGTAACCACAGTTTCATTAACTGAATCACCTCTAGCAGCACAGTCCACAGTAACCTAATAACTACTACTGATCTAACAAAACTATGTATTGGAAGGATGTAAAAGTATACATTTGTGTGACGGGGATAGGAAAAGGAAAGAAGAATATCCAAAGTGTGACATAAAGAAATAAATGCAGGGCTGGGGATTTAGCTCAGTGGTTCTGCTACCTGTCTTGCAAGCTCAAGGACCTGAATTTGAACCTGGTACCATAAATAAATAAATACATACATACATACATACATACATACATACATACAGGGCTGGGGATTTAGCTCAGTGGTACCGTGACTGTCTCACAAGTGCAAGGTCCTGAGTTCAATCACCTTACCACAAAAAAAAAAAGAAAGAAAAGAAAAGAAAAAGAAAAAAAAATGAAATAAATGTAAAATCAGCATAGCAAAATCGGAGCAGACACCTGCAAGCCTAGCACACTGGGAGGCTGAGGCAAGAGGATCACAAATTTGAGCCCAGCCTGGGCAAGTCAGCAAGATGGTCCTGGGTTCAATCCCCAGTACAGTCAAAAAAAGTAGAAGCAATATATGCATGTTACCTACAGAATCAAAGATAAATATCAAAATTAACTCAAAGAGTTAACAGTGCCTTCCTCTGAGGATAGGAAAATGGGTGACGGTTACTAAAAACTTGTACAACAAACTGACATAATCTCAGTTTTGATTATCAGAATGCTCACCAGCAAACATCAAAAAAATATGATCTCTGCTTAGAAAGTTTATAAGCTAACACACCTGTTCCTAGAGCTCTGATTTTCTAGCTGGACCTCTTTGGAAGGATTACCTTGTGCCATTAAACGAGGTGATTTTCTTGGTGATCTCACTGAGTTTTCTTCTACTTTGTCCCTCAAATTCCTGTTAGGTAAAATCAACTCTTCTTCATCAATGGTATCATTGCCACTTTCTTTAACAACTCCTTCATCCATAATATCGTCAAGACCAACAACTAGAAAAAGACAAAAACAACAAAAAATTAATTTTAAAATACTGTGGGGAAGTACAGAAAACAATGTGAGAGTTTTAATAAAATACCATTGTCATGAAAATCTAGGTCTACTCCTAACATGTGTGGTGTTGCCACTACCACTGCCGAACTCCCACATCAATTCGGTATAACAAACTCCTCCCTTGTGAGGTAACTCATCAAAGAGAAGATCTGTGATGCTGGTTCAGGATTTGACCTCTATCACCACTGTCATTTATCATTTGCTATTCCCCTGAGAATGCAACGGGCAGCTCTACCTGGAATAGTCCATTATCCCCATGTTGTTTGAAGTAGTCAAACAGAGCCCCATCCTCTGAAAAGCTTGTGATCTGCCGCTCCTGCCACAATCAAGTAATCTAACCGGATCATACCACTTAGATACTTCATGTGGACAATGCTGAGTGTAAGCAAAAGGAGAGGGCAGATGAAAAACACAACTTCCCTTCCTCAAAACAGTGGGGAAGACAACAGGTGTTTAACATAGCTATGCAGTTAAATTACTTTCTCCTCATTAAAAGAGACAAAGCCATTTAACTAGGGAGAGGGAAAGAACATTACAGAAAGATGGACTCTGAGAGAAGTATGAATACTGTATTCAGACTGTCATTAGGTTTGTTTCTGTATGGAACAAATGCTACTTAATTGTGATTCAGTCTAAATGCATACATATATGAAACCTTGTACAAAGAATGGGACTATTCAGAGGAGATTTGCATTCAAATCCCCACCAGAACATATAGTGATGTAGCTTCTCTCTTAATTGTCTTTATCGCTAAAATGAGAATGACAATACCTGTCCTACCTACCTCACAGGGCTGTTGTGAGAATCAAGTGAGATGAAGTATGACAACTCACTCTGTAAGCTTTAGAGTACTACACAAATGTTAATTATCTTCATCCTACGTTAGAAGGAACCTCAAGAAGTAATCTAGTCCCCTTCTCTGTATCCAAGTAGAACTTCATTTAAAAAGAGCTCAACAAGATAGTGGTCTATCCTAAAATTTAAAGAGAACAAAATTCTTTATAAGTATACTTTCAAATGGTACAATCTTTTTGAAAAGCAATGTGACGACAAACAGAATCACAAGACTACTCATACAGGGGCCGGGGATTTAGCTCAGTGGTTCCGGTGCCTGCCTTGCAAGCACAAGGTCCCGAGTTCTATCCCCAGTACCAAAAAAAAAAAGGAAAATAAAGGCTACTTATACAATCTGACTGATAAATTAGGAGGAACAGAGGAAAGAATGGATTGGGAAGAAAATGCTGGCCAGAAAACACAATCTGATCCTTGTTAGAAACAAACAAATGAAATGCATGTACTGTACATTTAGACAGAGAGGCGGAAGGATTGACAGGAAAAGATGAAAATTATCCATTAATCATAAGTAGTAATTCTTATCTATAAAAGATAAACATATACCTTTTCTTTATTCTCCAAATGTCCTGCTATAAGAATGTACTGTTCTCAAAAGCTGACCCACGCTTTTAACCACTATTCTGTACACTGCCAGCTTAGTGGACCACACACCTTAGGAAAATTAACCGGGACCTATTTAAGATTAGGGTAAAGATAAATGGGAAGTCCAGTTCGTGATGGAATACTTATGTGGCCACACACTGACAAACAATCTCAAAAAATTTTTGACATTAGATAAGTAGGTCCACTGTGTTCATTTTAAAAAGCAAACTTTAAACTACTTTTCATCTCCATTTTATATGAAAGCACTTAAACTGCATTACAAAGCTGCATAAAAATGCAGAAGAAAAAATGCATGAGACTGTTATCGGTGATTATCTCCAGTGGTAAGGTGGATAAAAAATACCACAGTTTAATCTTTCTTATACTTTCTCTGTTTTCCTAGTTTTCTACAATGAGCATTTTTTTTTGGTACCAGGGATCAAACTCAGGACCTTGCACATGCAAGGCAAGCACAGTGCCACTGAGCTAAATCCCTGGCTATGTGCATGTATTTTTTTTATTGCAATTAGGAGAAAAGGGAACAATCAAAAAAAGGAGAAAAAGCTAAATAGCATTTGTTCACAGGAAATGAAAAGGTATGTTATGAACAGATATAATGCGAAGCAGAAAAAGGATTCAGCCAAATCCAAAGGTCAATTACCCAGTTGTAAGTTACTTTTATTTCCTGGCAGCATCCAACAGCTGATTCCTCTCCCCTTTTCAATCCCTTTCTCCTCACTCAGCTTCTAGAACATTCTACTGTCCTGTCACCAGCCAGTCCTCTTCAACAACTTTCCCCAGAGCCTCCTCTTCTTGCAGATATCCATATAACCGGAGAACCCAGCAGTCCGGCTGTTTGCATCTGTCCTCTCCTCACACTCATGCAGTCCTAGTGACCCCACCTAGTCTCACTATACTCCAGGGGCTCCCAGGCCCACAACCACACCTGACTGCTGGAAGATTGTCATCTCCTTAGGCTGCCTAGCAGGTGTCTCAAAAACCCAGCCGACTGAAAATAACAATTTCACCCATCCTCCCCACACTCAAGTAACTACCCCTTGCAGGGGATGCTCAGTAAACAAAACCTCCACTCACCTGGTCTGAGTCTAAAACCAGAGCCACCCTTGGCGCAGCTCCCTGTACCTCTCCCCTGTGCAAACAAAAGAAGTTCCATGCTAGCTCTACCTGCGAAGCTCTCCGCTCATCTGTGGGCCCCACTGCTAATACTCTGTAGCAAGCACCACCCTCTCTCCTCAAGACAACACTGTAACAGTTCCTCTACTCCCCACCCTCTCCCAGAGAGTTTACCCAGCCATCCTCCTGAGGCTGCCACATTCTCCTGTTCAGGACTCTCCAAAGCATTCCCAACATATTTAGATTTCAAGTCCAAAATGCTACCCAGAGCCTAGAGACCTACCTTGCTGATTAACTCCATTCCAAGCACACAGACCTTTGCTGAATACAAGAAAGCACAGACCATCTCAGGCTTTCTGCACTCGCCATTCATTCTGAGTGGAGCGCTATTCTCCTAGACATCAACACAGCTCACTCTCACCTTCCCAGAGAAAGCACCCAACATAAAACATCACTGCCTACTGAACCTCAGCACTGTATTCTCCCTCTAAACCACAGTTATGACACTTCATACCTATTTTATCCACCAAAGTCTAAGTGCCACGAAGTCAATTTATTTGTGGCTCAAAGACCAAAACCTAGAACAATCTTGTATATAATGAGGTACTCCAGAAATATTTACTGAATAAACTAACTAAAAGGAAAGTATAGGTTGGAAAAATTTTAATTTTCTAAAGAGAAAAATGTTTCCATTAATCCAAACAGAGAAACTGGAAGAACAAATTTAAAAGACAATGGCTTCACTTTTTGGACACACTGACGACATGAAGAATCAGAGAAGGCAAAGGAAGCATTAAAGAGTAAGAGAGAAAGAGAAAGGGGAAATTCCAGGAAGCAGGGATCAGAAAGGATACATCAAGAATGAAGGGAGGAGAGCTTTGCACAAAAGAGGAGAGGGTCAGATGAAAAGGAGTTATGAAGTGAATACGTGAATAACGACAATGTAACTACAGTCTCATTTTTATTTTTTAAATAACTTTAATAGCAAATAAAGATAAAGGGGACAATCAGTTGCAGGAAGTTAAAGGGACAAAAGATGGTTTTCCATATATGTGACAGAGAAAGGCAGAGGAGGCAGTATGGTAGAGTTCACTTTCTTTCCAAAGAAGGCAGTGAAATGTAAGTGAGGGAACTGAAAGTAAAGCAGAGCAAAAGATGGAAGTGGAGAGATGAAAGGAAAGGAAGGAAAGGAGGGAAAATGAGAGCTCTAACCATGTTTGCATACAATGGAAAATATCTTGGAAGTTAAGTGAAGCCTAGAGGTTCTGCTACTGTTTGATTGTGTCCGCCAAAAGTTGAGGTATTAAAAACTTCACCCCAAATTCATATTGGTCATATTTAGCATGGAGGCCTTTGGAAATTAGCTGGGGTTATATGAGGTCATGAGGGTGGGGCTAACAGATGCATGCTATCATGTGACGCCTCCTTCCATCATGCTAAGATGCAACAAGACTCTTAAGAGATGGACACAGCATGCTCTGGGACTTATGAGCCCCCAAGGACCACAAGCTAGCAAACTTTAACTCAAACAGAACAAATCAAAAATCTCACAGTCAACAACCTACAATCAGAATAACTAAGCTGGGGATTTAGCTCAGTGGTTCTGCCACCTGCCTTGCAAGCACAAGGTCCTGAGTTCGATCCCTGGTACCAAAAAAAAAAAGACTAAGACTATATTTGAGATGTTCCTCAAAAGTAAGATTTCCAAAAGCATCATTTTTTGGACCCCTGCTCTACCTGACTCACGTTTTCTTTGTGTCACAAGTCCATCCTACGATCAATCAAACTACCTGCTCCCAAAGACTCTAGGGTTCTCATGCTGAACAAGACCCCCACAACTGAAATACCTGCTTAACCTCTCCATGTGTCATGAGGATTACATTAACATAACAAGTACTAAGAATGATATCTGGCACTTAAAAAGCCCCATGTTGTTAACATTTCTGCTTCAGTCTCTCCCTCAGCCATGCTACCATAAAATTATGAATTCCTTCTCCCTTTTTTATTAGTATATATGAATTACACAGAATTTTAAGTTTCATTTTGGTATATTTTGTACATACAAATCATGCACAACATATTTTGAATTGTTTCTACCTCCCATTACTCCCCGATCCTTGTCCTCTCCCTTCCCAATTCCCTTCATCTTTTTAAAGTGTCTATCTTCTGAAATGCCACTACTCCTCAAACTCTAATGAAATTGAAAGGGAAGCAATACTCACAAACTCATTCCTGCAAGGAAGCATTACCCTGATACCAAAAACAGAGAAGGATCCAACCAAAATAGCGATCTACAGGCCAATCTCCCTCATGAACATAGATATAAAAATGCACAATAACATACTATCAAACAGAATGCAGCAAATCA